AAAAGAGAACGTAATGTTATTGTGATTTCAATAGTTTTTTTTTATTTCAAATTTATTTCAGGAATATTATGAAATTGCTTACAAAAAAGGTACATAGAGAACATTTTTTTAAATTAGATATGTAGGTTTGCATGGGTGTAAGTAGGCGTATTTATACAGCGTCATATTTTGGGATTTATTTAATAGATATGTTGAATTTGGATCATAATAAAAATTTTAGATACATATTAGCATATAGTCAGTTGATTGTCTTTTTAAAAATGATTAATGTTAAAAACTCGAAATCGTACAGTTTTCTATAAAAAATGCATGTACATAATACTTAAAAAAATTGTGGGTGTGCGTAGATTAATGTAGGTGTATGCATAGTCGTTAACATCTCACGAATCTGTCGACCAATTTTGACACCACACGGCTTACATATTTGTATTCAAATACCCATCACCACTAAAAAAAACTGGATTTTATCCAATGAAGGATGTATGTTGTAAAACTTAATCCAGAGGACGTCAGGACCCGCAAGCCCTGATTCATAGATGTGTTAGTGTATCCGTGTGAATTTATGAGTGTGCGTTATTTATAGTTGTAGTCACTGTGATACCAAATTAAGCGACCTGACAATCGTACACACGACACACACATACGGAGGCTCACAGATACACTAATACATCCATGAACTCGTCCATAAATCAGGACTGGCACGTCCTGGTGCCATCTGGATTGAGTTTAACACCATGCATCCCTTATTCTTTTGCTCTTATTTAGTTAGTTAGTTAATTTATTTAGATTGTGTTAATTTTGTAAGATCGACATTTAAAAAAATTAGACATTCAAAATAAATCATTAAAAAATTGAATGCAATAAAGTAGGACGAAGGTAATAAATATTATGAATATTTTTTTTTCCACCCGTACATCACTAAAGTTGATTTTAACAAGCACCCCCTACCACCATAGTGTCGAGGGCCGAACCCCCAGTCCCCAACTATGTCATAACCCTTACCCTTACTTTTTTCCATTAAACCCCTTCTATCACTCTTTTCCACCCCTAAGCCACACAATTTTTCCCCCGAATTTTGCACCCATTCAAGACGCCCACAGAGCCTATTTTTGCATGGGTCGCCTTGGGGTAACGTTCTTTCCTGTTTCCATCCCTATAACCCATCGCTTCCCCATCTTGTCGGGCACTAAAATGGGGGACTAAAATGGGATATTTTTTGTGGATTTTCTCAGGTACGTTAAAGCGAAAAAATGAGCGAAAAAATATAAGCAAAACTTTTTTCGCCACCAAAGGTCATGTGGTTAATTCAAAGATATATACAATATTTAAACATGTGCAAGCCAGTATAAAAATAGTATCAATTATTTAGATCGCGCAAAGTGCCTTCATTGCAGTACCTAGTTTTTCTTTTTCTTCTACCTTGGAAGATTGATTTTTACGTGACTAATGACATATTATTTCCTGTATAACTGATTGAAATTGATCACACAGTTAGCTTGGAGGATTTTTTAATTACTCAATTGATTAATATTTGAAATATATTGAAATCAGATATGTTTACAACATACAAAAAACATAACTTAATAATGTTATTGAATTTTTTTAACCTTTAAAAAATAACTAAGCAAACATAACTAAAATCAAGTAAACTGAAAATACAATGAAATACTCCGTAATTTTTGGATATCTTTAGTGTAATATTGTATATTTTGTTGATTACAAGAAAACTTTATAATAATAATTTATTTATTCATATCTTGACATTAAATTAAAATCTATCTAACTAAAATCATACGCATGATCAGTGTTAATGTAAAAATTGCATGTATTTCTAAAGACTTAATAGTAAACAACCATGGATAAAAAGAGTTATTTCTCAAAATTACTTTTTTCAAAGTAGTAAAATCTCATAACTGCTAATTATAAATAATAGTTATCAAGACTTACTCTTTTCAAAAAAGTAGTTTTTTTATGTATTACTATTTTCAAAGTAGTGAATTAAACGTACTTATACTGAGTCACATAAGAGTCTATGTTTTTATCGTGAATACGTGGTTTTGTTACTTTAAGCATATTGAGCTACTTATACCCTTTTAACAATCTTAACATTGCCTTTCGATCTTTTAGTGGCTTTTCAGCATCGCAAGCAGACCATGTCTCTGTGTTTCCTTCTCTCTCTTCTCACATTCTTGGTTAGACTTCTAGAAGAACGACCCTTACAAGTCGGTCTGTTTACGGGGAGGTTAGTTTTAGTTGGTAGGTGCCAGCATTCTCTGGTGAATCCAACATTGTTTTGGAATTAAAAAAAAAACCCACTTCCCCAGGTTTTAGTGGTGATTGATGATTTCTATAGAGACAGATGGGTCAACTTCACACTGATCCAAGTGCAGAAGGCACACAATTTTTTCTTTTTAATTCACGCTTACATTATTTTGGTTGATGCATATCAACCTTTTTATATAACTATTTATGTGCACATTTTTATGCTGTATTATTACATATATATACACTTTTGTTTAAATTACTATCTTTATGTTTAAGAAGGCAATAAATATTCCAAAGCAACATGAAGAATCTCGCCAATTATAGTATATAGCTGACTTATATCACAAAATCTTGAGTAAAAAAATTGTAGATCTTGAAAGAAAAGTTTACATTTTTATGAAGTTTTTTCAAGATTTTTTACATGTTTTAAATATTAAAAAAAAAAAAGTTCTTTTGCTATATTTCATTTTCTAGATTACTATGCAGTCAAGAAAAATTAGTACTTACATTTTATTTTCCTACATTTTTTACAGAAAATTATTCTTACTTACTCTGTTACCAATAACTCAAGCTGCCATATGCTTACTCATTATTTCTTAACTCTTAAATTACGAAAAACTAATAGACTACTTTAAAAATATTACTTTTATGCAGTCGTGTCGTGAAGCTCCAATTTGAATGCGTTATATTTACAAGTATATGTGCGTCAATTTTATCGATATTTCTATTTTTAACTATTCTAGAAAACATGAAAAATAATAAAAATAAATAAAAAATGAACTAGAATGCATTGATGCTGTTATTTAATCAATTTTGTTTCAAATTTATTTCATTATTTTTCAGGATACTTTACAATAGGAAATCTGAGATATTGTAAAATTACATACAAAAAATGTATTTAGTTAGAATAAAAAAAGAAAAAAAAAAGTAGATATGAAAGATTGACCCAGTTTTTTTTTTATTTTAGTTGTATTATCTTTAATCAATTGATCATTTTGTTTTTTCTAATGTCTTTGGGTATATAGGAGACATGACAGATACTTTTATTAATGTTATTTTGTATTTATTATCATCTATGTGTTGATAAGCTACACATTTTTTAAATGTTATTAATAAAAACATAATTGTGTTAATTTGTCTATATTGTATTTCAAGTGAAAATATACTCCAACATATGAGATTACCAATCAAGATGTATTGTTCCAATGACCTTGTGAAGATCAAACGCTAGTATACTTTCTGCCATGAACGTTTTTCCCAGTACTTGATAATATATGTGAGGTACGCACTCGGATGGAGTGGCCTTTGAAACTTACTAAAGTAACGAAAACTACGTAAAGTCTTTTGAAAGGGATTCTCAATAAAAATTTGAACTGTGATGTTCGGAATTTCAAGCTCTTGAATGATGTCAAAACAAAATATGGCGAGGCCAACTTATTTAAAAGATATTGGCGATTAATTTTATAGGTTAACATGGGCTAATGAAAAGGTGATAATAGGCATCTGTTTTGAAAAAAGGTAATGTTTTTACCCTGAGACTGATTAATTTTTTTTTTTTTCCGACGAAATTGGCTCAACATATTTTCATATTTTCAGACTGTCTAGTTATGATATGAAAACGAAGCTACAAAAAAAATTTAAGCTTAATCGAGTGTAAACTTTTAAGGATACTCGAGTTACATGTCTTCATAAGCTCATACATATGTTTTAGTATGCTATGCGCATAAATTTGACGACCCTCA